AAAAATGTATAAAGCTATACTTGATGAAATATTCCATAAAAAATAAAAACAATAAAATTGTGTTGTTTTCATAACCTTATGGTCATTTTTTTTAATCATTTTTAGCATATAAAATGTTTGTAATTTATATACTATGGAAGAATATTAACGCCAAAATTACATCTTGATTTCTTACGTTACATCGTGCTTTCTAACTTGTACATCTTGCATTCTGACTTGTACATCTTGCATTCTTACTTGTACATCATGCATTCTGACTTGTACATCTTGCATTCGGACTTTACATGTTGCTTTCTTACATGCACATTATGCTTTCTGCTGTGTGCGTCTTGCTTAATTGTATGTTGTTATCGTTATTTAACGATCAATTCATTTGTTGATCTGGTATATTATGACGAATGTCATAAGGTAGAATGACGCATAGCCAAAAGCCGAATGCAGCAAGCATAATACGACGCGACATCTGGTGTAATAATATGTGACACCCAAATTATGCTAACAGGTGGCGCTACAGTTATATTCTCGGTAAAGTCCGTATTCAGTTACCAAATTACGTCCCTTTGTTTTAAAATTTCCATTTCTCCACTATGGAGGAAATAAGGTAAACATATATTCAAAACGATTGACCAATTTTTTATTTATTACTGAAACTCTGTGGGTCAAATTATATTTCCAGCTGACAATGACAAGTGAGGCTGAAGATGCCTTTTTAAAAAGAAAACTACTAAAAAGGCATCTTCTACGGTGGCACAAAGGTGACATGTGTGTATTTTTATTTATCTCGTGGCCACGAGTTACTAAGTTGTGGCCACGAGATAGCTAAGTCGTGGCAACCAGATACTTTGTCGTGGCCACGAGTTACTTAGTCGTGGCCACGACATAGTATCTCGTGGTCACGACTAAGCTATCTCGTGGCCACGACTTATTACCTCGTGGCCACGACATAGTATCTCGTGGCCACGACTTAGTAACTCGTGGCCACGACTTAGCTATCTCGTGGCCACGACTTAGTAACTCGTGGCCACGACATAGTATCTCGTGCGCACGAGAACACAAGTCACCTTTGTGCCACAGTAATCTTCAGCCCAACATGCAATATTCATTTTATCATCATTTCTTGGGATCTTTTTTGTACATTTTATTTTTATGTACTCATCAATTAACATTATGAAATCAATTGCCTTAAAGCTGCACTCTCACAGATTGACAATTTTGACATTTTTTTCCTTCTCTGAAGCAGCTGATTTTGACAGCCGTTCCTTCAATTCAGTTTTAAGCTGACATCGGAACAAGGTCCCGTATTCATAAAGCATCTTAGTGAATAATTTCAACTTAGTGAAAAATGATATTTTTGACAAGTTGAATTTAAAAAATCTAACAATGTGTGTACAAATTTAGTTTGAAAATAGGCAAGAAAATGTCCTAATTAATAAAAACACAATAAAAATGTTGTGGATGGTCACAGGTATTGGAAATAAGCCATGTCAAAAATTAGGAACTTTTCAAGAGGATGAACTATTTTACTAAGAAGTTTTTTTATGGCCTAAGCACTTTGAACAACTGTTTTATATTATAATTATTTTGTTGATAAAAAAATAATTCTAAAATCATTGATTTGGAAATGTGCAACTTGTCAATGTTATCAGCTGGAAATATAATTTGACCCACACTTTTTCAGTAATAAATACTAAAATTGGTCAATTTATTTTGTATATTTGTTTACCTTATTTCCTCCATAGTGGTAATGAAAATTTTAAAACAAAGGGACGTTATTTGGTAAACTGAATCTGAACCGCAATACGGACTTTACCGAGAATATAACTGTAGCGCCACCTGTTAGCATAATTTGGGTGTCACATATTATTACACCAGGGCCGGACTTGATTCGAAAAACTCCGTTGAACCCAGAGTACTACGGAGTACTCCGAGTAAAAGGAACGAATCAAATAAATTGAGAGTAAAAAGATGGCTACTTCTGTTAGAAATATTGTAGTTGCTACTACTTTAGCATTGTTTGATGAGACTAGCAGCAGTTCGTCAGACGAAGATGATGAAATTCAACCTCTTCTTGCTCTCGCTACGTACGTGATATTTCATAAAGTCTTTTTAGACGAGTGTCGTACAATTCTACCATTAGACAAATCAATCCCTGGACAATTCGACCCCTCAATAAGCTTAGACAATTCGACCCCTCTGATAAAAGTTAAGGAAAAAATGAAAAAAAAAAGGAAAGGCAAAATTTAAATCTTGAGGACCATAATTATCTTTAAGAAATATTGATGACTGATTTTATTGACATTAAAAATACTTAAGAGACTGCCTGATCTACAAATTTTAAATACTAAGTGCATTAACTTAAAATATATTGTTTCTTATGATTAATTGATTCACAAATGCTGTATATGATTTTATTTGTTTCTTTCAGAGTTCGTCGCAAAAAGCAAAAGTTGAAAATTATGTTGAAGAAGTGGTTCCTCGTTACACTTTAGACGACTTTAGGCGTTTCTTTAGAATGACAAGAGATACATTTGAAGTGATTTGTCAACAACTTGGAACAGTATTGCCAAGGTACCAAACTGCCCGTCCATCCGGACGACCTGCCATACCTCTTCAAAACCAGCTGATGATATTTCTTTGGTATATCGGCAGTCTTGAGCCTCTATGTAGAATCGGAGATCGATTTCTTTTGATTACATCTGACGGGCCAAGTGGGAGACTATATGATGGACAGTTCTTAAAGCCCTTTGGGACTGAATTGCCTTAATGTTTGTCTTCTGTCTTGCTTCGTCGGGCCCTTGTAGGTGATTTTCTTGTTGCTCTGTCTTCCTTTAAGACATCGAGTACTTTTGTTATGGTCATTGGGTTTACTTTTATATGTTTCTACATGATCATTTTGGTGTTTTACTTATTTAACCTTTTGTAACCATAACAACTGTTAGAATTTCACTTGGCGGGGATTCATTTTATTTACACTGTCTCGTTTATAGGAACATGGTGGGGCTAAGAGCGAGGTTTGGTGCACCATTAACCGGTTTAAACTCCCCAGTAGTCATTATTATGCTGCTGACCGTTCCAAGGCGGCGCCCCTCTGTGTTCCTCAGATGTATGTCTATGTTGTTTTATACTGATTTGGTGACACTTTTGCTCGTGTCTCTTGTTGTTTTCTCGTCTACGGTAAGTATCTTCCCTTGTCCCTAGTTTTTATTTATTTTATTCCCCCTCCCTTCCCCGTGTCTCATGTCCCCTTCCCCTGTGCCTTTTGACATAATGGGCCTTATATTAAATCATTTATTTGTTTTGTTTTAGTTCCTTATAAGTTACTAGTTATGTATTCTGATGTAGTGGTTTGCCTGCCCGTACTCTGCCTTGTGCCCTGTCCTGTTTTTCTTTGGAGTCCTCCTGGGCTCCTTGCCGCTGACGCTTGTTGCTGGGTCGGATGGGGGCTGCGTTCATTGAATGCCGCCTTTCCTTGTCGATCTTGTTTATCATATTTTAAATGTGACTGAGTTCTCAGTGTTACGCATTCGTCGAAGGATTTGTAAAATGTTGTTAAGACATTTCAAGTCTAAATATATAAAATGGCCAGATGGACAAGATCAACAAACTGTCATGAATGCATTCAGAGAGAAAAAGGAGTTTCCACTTGTAATTGGAGCTTTAGACAGTACCCATATACAAATTAGACCTCCTAAGGAGCATCCACAAACCTACGTAAACCGTAAAGGCTACCATTCAATCGTTCTCCAGTGTGTATGTAGAGAGGATATGAGGATATGAGGTTTACACATTGTTTTGCTGGATGGCCTGGGAGTTGCCATGACTCTAGGGTGTTAAAGAACACAGACTTGTTTCAGAATGCACAGCATTTATGTCAGGGTGGACACTTAATAGGAGACGGTGGGTTTCCATTGAAGGAATGGTTGATGACCCCATTTCGAGATAATGGACATCTGACAGACCGACAAAAACATTATAATTACTGTCTTTCTTCAACACGCCAAGTTATTGAAAGATCTTTTGGTCTTTTAAAAGGACGTTTTCGACGTCTGCAGAACATTGATGTGTGCACTGTTCAAGCAGCTGTGGAAGTATGCATTTCAGGCTGCATATTGCACAATATATGTATACTTCAAGCAGATGAACTAGACGATTATTTTAATGATAATCAGGGACAGATGCAAAACAGACACGTTGTGTTTCTGGACAATGATGCTGCGGGCATTCTTAAGCGAGATCGTATTAGTCAGCATCTCCCTTGAGGGCATGATAGTATGGTTGCTGAAAATGTACCAATCCATGTCACTTTTGTATACTGCAATTCAAGCTATTTTGTAGTAAATGTACTGTAAGCTACACTATTAAAAAAACTGGACTTTTATGAAATAAAATGATGTTATAATATAACATGGAATGTTTTATATGCGTCACTAGGAGATCAAGCATCCATGGTGTTGATCTTGTCTATCATATTTTACAATTTAAATAAACTAGGCAGAGATCCACTAGGCTATGCTACATGCTCGTTATCTATTGTCTTGGTCTTTTGGATTATTTTAACATTTTAAACAAATATTGCAAATCAAAGGTCCATAACTCTAAACATATTGATCTATAGCTGGTCTGGCCCCTAACTGAACTCATCCAATAAGTTATTGCTTAAAATCTGAAACTAGATCAAGTGGTCACGGCCAAGCTCATCTAAGATCAAAGATCATTTCTGAGGACAATGACCCAATGTGAAGTTTCTGTGTGGAAATAAAAGGGTGATTGAGCAGCTGAGCTTAAATAGGGATAAAAAAATGGTGCCTATCTAAATCAGTACCTTGTAGACCCTTATATCCCTCTACAAAGTCATACTGCACTTTAAATTCAATGCTGCAGTATTTTGTTCACAAAAGTTAGATGTTAATCAATGAACTAAATGTAATTTAGGATCATAATCACATAAACTTTGTGCTTAGGTAAGATAGATAATGAAACAAATGAATAATTCTGCTAAATCTATATTTCTTAATTTGCTAAAACAATAACTTTGTTCATGTAATAACTCAAAAAAATATCACAACGCATTGAATAATTTAAAAACTTTACACAGATATGCCAGACTGCACTTTTAAGATATGCCTTTGGTCTTCACAAGGCCAATATTATGCCATAATAAATCTAAATGCTTCTTTTGTTGTGAGCTGTCTGTTAGTAAAGTTTGACTAGAATATCTCAAACTAAGTTATTAAGCAGAAAGTATTTCCTTGTCTATTTCAAAGCACAATATCATTACAACAGCAGAAGAAATTTAAACTAATGACTAGTAATGAGACATGTCATGCAAAAACCAACATTTAATGGCTAAGTGGCAAGTATATATCCATTCAGTATTGCAGATGTTAAAAGCAATCAGTATGGGTCTTGATCAGACTTTGCGACATTGCGCAGATGCACGGGTTGGCCTAGATCCATATTTGTATACTCATTATGTTGGTTTTCCCATGATATGGCTCAGTTATGTTTCTTGCAAAAAGAATATAACATAAATCCAACTGCTACTTGCAGAGAGTTGAAAAATCTGTTAAACAACAAGTTATAACAAGGTGCAGCAAAACATATTTATAAACAAAAAGAAAAGCTGAACACAATATCAAACTATGTTAACATAAAACAAATTTATGTTTGTATGGAATCGTTCTGTGCTCTGGTATTTCTTGCTATTTTCTACCATTGTTAACATAAGAATCACAGAAAATGAACTGAAGTTCACAATACTCAGACATACTTCTGCTCAATTAAGAGGACCATGATGGTCCAATATCACTCACCTGTTCATCTGACCCAAGATGACCCATATACAATCCCAAACAAGATTTCATCAAAATAAACATTCTGACCAAATTTCATAAAGAATTGATGAACAAGAAGTTATTTTAATGTTTTACAATATACATTTAAAGAAAACAACTGACCCCTGGGGCGTGGTCATTTTTGACACCCCTAGCATAATTGTATTAATTTTTACAGAGGACCACTATAGATGATGCTATAAACCAAAATTCATTGCTCTAGGCCTTGTGGTTTTTGACAAGGAGATTTTTAAAAAATTTCCTTTTGGTTGCCATGGCGACCAGAGTTCTGCAAGTAATGACTTTCTCTCTTCATGCAAGGAACATTCCTGACAAGTTTCATTACTTTTGGCCATGTGGTTCAGGAGAAGAAGTTGTTTGAAATTGTTGACGGATGGTCGACGGACATCAGGCGATCACAAAAGCTCACCTTGTCACTTCGTGGCAAGTGAGCAAAAAACAAACTGAACACATTATTTGAAAGAACATGGTATGAACTGGTCGAGAAAGCTACTTGCTACAGTATATAATTGCTAAATGCTACTAAATGCTCCAACATCATACAATTTTTCTAGATCTAAAATAAGTAATCAAAATTTACAGACATTTGAAAAGAAAATGGTATAACTGGCAGAGACAACTGCTAAGTGAACTAACATATAGTTTAAACTGTACTATTTTAAGCACATAAAATCAAACTGAACACACATTTGAAAGAACATGGTAAAACTGCCTTAAACAGCTGCTTGCTAAACCGGCACAAAAAAGAACAAATTATGAAAACAATCTCATTTTTGGAGTCTCTGTTGAATGAGTCCAGACTATGCTTTGTAGACCTTGATCCAGGATTTGTTTTCTCTCCTACATATTGGACAGATATTCAACATCTCACAGCATGTTATACAACATATCATGTGACCACAATCTCCAAACACTGTGTTGACTGTACGATCCATGCAGATTTTGCATAAATCTTCATCTGAAATTTTAAAGCTGTTAAATTAAACTATTACTAAAATAGACACATTATGAATTTGCTCTGTTGTCAATAAATTCCTGGCATCAAATGTTACACACTTGTTGAACAAGACAATGATTAAAAAGTAAATGAAATTTCTATACTGGTTCAAGTGATAGTAGTAGTGCTATAAGATAGCTTGAATAATGATATGCTTTTGATTACATGGGCTTTATATGTGAGGAGTATAACAGCTGCAAAAATTCTTTAATTTTTTTTTAAGACATTGATCAGCTCTTGAAACATTTTCATTTTATCTTCATGTCTTTTCTCCTTTTTTTCCTCTCTTTCTTCACGCCTCTTTTCCTGTTCACTTGCACTGATTTTCATGAAATCTATTACTTCTGAAATTTGTGTTTTCCTTATTTTGGGACTGATACCTTTTCATCTGCAATATGTTCTGTCTTTCTCTTACAATTATCAGCTCTTGTCACTTCACCTTCATCATCCAATTCATCACCATCTTCATCTGACTGTGACATATGAGTAGCAGTAGCACTACTCATTACAAATTCTGGTCTGATGCTTGGTGACCCTTTGAACAGTGAGTCCAACTCATTCTCGTATATGAAGGATTTACGCTTGCTTCCTGAAGTATTATTATTATCTTTAACAGTCTTGTACTGTCGTATTAGAGTTTTCATCCTTGATGTACACTGTGCATCAGTAAATGGATACTGATGCTCTTTAAGAACCTGTGCAATTTCTTCAAATGCCTTCTTCTTTTTCAAACGTCCCGTATCAATACGGTCCTGTCTTTCTTTGTAACTAGCAATTAGCAGTAAAGTTGGTGCCTGGCTCCATTTACAACTTTCTTCCTCTTCCTCCTGCTTCTTAATGTCTCTATCAATTTCTTCCTCTGTTCTATCTTGCGAAAGATTCACACCAGTTACACCACTTGCTGCTGAAACAAGAAAATAACATGTCAATAGTCCACATTTAATACTAGGGATTTTCTACTGAATTACTGGAAGGCTGGTAGCCTTACTAGTTCGGCTTCTGGGATGACCCATTTTATAGACAGATATTTTATAGTTGTCGTCCCTCTAATACAAGTAAGACAGATCTACAAGGAAAATCACCATTCAATGAGGCCTTCTTCAAAGAATTGAGTTGCAATTTACTGTGTGGAAATTATTAAAAAGACATTAAAACTCACTTTATTGTGGGGTTGCGTTCATTGAACGCCGCCTTTCCTTGTTGATCTTGTTTATCATATTTTAAGAAATAAAAATGTTAATTATCTCAACATAAATCCTGAAAATATTGAAATTTTTAATCCAGATCGCTGATTTAATACCTAAAATAATAGAGACAAGCATAAATAACAGGAGGTAAAATTAACAATGACACCGTTTACGGTAACGCATTTTGTTGATTTAAATGAAACAAATGGCTAAAAGTTTATGTTTGAAATGTTAAACTTTACATTTTTATACCTGCTATTGCATATAAACGTACATCTTATTGTCTATTAGGGTCAAATAATTAATACTTGCAACCAGGAATAGTTCCCAACAGGTTTTAATTGGGCATTTTCCAAACAGAAAATTGCCATTCTTATTTGTACGTGAAGGGCAGCGACCTGTCACGAAAATGACACGATAACCGAAACGGACAATTATTTGGACTAGGATGCTGGGAGTATATATTTAGGTTTATTATTACCGAGGTGTCAAATAATGTTCTTGAAATGATAAATAGTAATTAATTTAATGTTAGATGATGTTGGTTTCAAAAAAGGAAAATAATATGTATTGCTTTTTCTGGTAATAAACTTTATACTTTATTAAGGGCGAAAAGTCTTGGATCGAAAAGTCTCGGTCGAAATGTTGCATCAATTCGCGGCTTAAAAGGAAACTAATACCTTCTAAATTTATTTTGGTAATTAAGGAATAAAATTATATACCTGAAGCTACACATGGATGGTTGTAAAAGACCTCCATAGACAGAAAAAACATGTGACAGTCTTCACATTGAAACATGGTTCGTCTTTCTGAAGAAGCCGCCATGTTGGTTTGTGACGTCACACTCCAAAGTTCCCTGCCCATACGGTGGAGAGTTTGGAGTACACTCCGAGTGACTGCTCTACATCACTTGATTAAGATTTGGAGTAAAAGTCGTAGAAAGAGTAAAAAGAGTTGCCCAATCAAGTCCGACCCAGATGTCGCGTCGTATTATGCTTGCTGCATTCGGCTTTCGCCTATGCGTCATTCTACCTTATGACATTCGTCATTCATGCTGAGTAAATAGACCCAAATACAAACAGTTGCAGGTTAAGTTATTGAATTAATATACCAGATCAACAAATGAATAATTATTGATCGTTTAATAACGATATCAACATACAATTAAGCAAGACGCACATAGCAGAAAGCATAATGTGCATGTAAGAAAGCAACATGTAAAGTCAGAATGCAAGATGTACAAGTCAGAATGCATGATGTACAAGTCAGAATGCAAGATATACAAGTCAGAATGTAAGATGTACAAGTTAGAAAGCACGATGTAACGTAAGAAAGCAAGATGTAATTTTGGCGTTAATATTCTTCCATAATATACATCAATATTTTTTTCGTTAACGGAATTAAAAGCATGTACCAAAATATTAGTCTACTGCTGTTAGTAAGTTTGGCGATGATTTTACTCATGGTCCAATCGCTTGTGCTTCACATTTTAGTAGTAAGTTCGAAAACCAATCAAACAATTTCTTTTGAATAGTTATTCTGCGTGACATTGTCTAACAATACAACCGTTCTTGAACTGAAAGCCAGTCCAAGAAACATTACAATCGCAAACAATCAATAACTATATATAAGAAGAAAGTCCTTAAAAGAATGTTGTAAATATTTTCGAGCTTCGGATCAATTTTCCACGAACAGTGAAGGTATCTCAAGACAGGATACATGATTAAACAAACATTTATTTTTAGAACAAAAACTGTTTTTTTCTTCAGAACTGACTGTATGAAAAATCCAATTAGAGACATACGCCGTATGAGCTTAGTGACAAACATGCTTGATGAAGTAGCCAATTCGGCCATAAATCAATGTTGAAAAATCTGATAACTCGAAGAATAATAAGACCGTTTTTTTCTGGGCTGAAGCGATATACCAATGCATTTGAATTAAAGGCTTGCTTATTTTATTTTAAGCTATCGTTGTTATAATGAATACACTTATCATCATGGCATCGGGTACATCATGTTATTTAGTAAAGAATCAAAGGGCAAGTGGGACAAGTTTATTGACGACGAATCGTATAAAAGAGTGTTGTTTTCTTTACTGATAATGCCATTGACAAGGACAGAGTTGAATGTTTTTATTCAACTGTCCGTCCGTCTGTCCGTCCGTCCGAGCAAACATGTTGGGTTTATGTGGCTATGGGAACAATAGGTAATAATGAATTTTCTTTGATCCGATTCATTCCGTGAAAGTATTTAAAACAGCAAAATTAAATGTAAATTGCAGACTCGGTTTGATTGGGCCTGTACATAAGGAATAATGAAAGGTGCAACATCCCTCACGCCCCCATGCACCGTAAAGTTTTATGTGGCATTTTTGGTTCATGTGGCTTTTTAGAACAAAAGAGTAGTCACATAAAACCAAATGATTAGAATGTCCGTCCTACTGTCCGTACAAGGTTCACCTTATCCGGCAAGTTGGATATATCTGAAGTTCTATCTGTACTTATGGCTTCATAATTTCCACTCTTTCTTATCACTGCCCTTTGATTCTTTACTTAGTTTATAAAGTACATGATATTGCCACGTTATATAACTGTGATATCCTTTTTTCCAGTTATTTTCCTTTATATTACTTTAAAAATAGGGTCTTGTATTATAAACCTAGTCCAGGAAGTTGGATTTATCTAAAATATCTCCAAAGTACTTTATTTAGTTAATGATATCTTCCATATTGGGTAGATGTATTGAGTTAGGGGTCAGTGGGCAAGGTCAGGGCTGCCAAAAATAGATTTTTGAACATTTGCTTCCACCGATTTTATTTATTGATGCTTTTTTATAACATGGCTATGATCTTCTTCCTTTGGGTTGAGTTAGGTGTCAGTGGGTCAATGTCAGGGGTGAAAATAATGTATTTCACATATTTGAAAACCTTAGTAGGAACAGGCCATGAACAGGCTCAATCGAACCGAGCCTGCAACATTTTCAATTTTGCCATGTTGAGCTTTGTTTAAGGATTCTTATTTCTCTCTATTTTAGTAATTACTTCAATGTGTAAGTTTAAGAACTGTAAATAAAGTTTTGAAAAGTCATTAGATAATGTAGGTTGAATAAGAGTGATTGTCAATGAGTAAATATAGAAGATAGTGACAGTTATTCAGATTTTATTGTATGTGCATTGAGGTGAATCTGAAAAGATCATGATTAAGCCAGCTAAACCCTAAGCGTAATATAGAATTTTAAAGTAAGCATAAAAACCGTTATCACAATATATTCACACGATATAAGAAATGCGGTTGTAAATATGTATTTTAAGTCATTAAAGGTCTCCAACTGTTTTTTGATAAACATATTATTCTTCAGATTATATCAAATTTGATATCAAATGAACAATATCAAAAACCGATTGTTTATGTTGCAATATTGAGAAACCACGGACCGTATCGGTTGACTGGCAACGATCGTGATTTGTCTTATATGCTTAAATGGGATTTATCTTTCTAACAATATTATCTAGGTGCACACTATCTGGAATTTTTCAAACATCGGGAATAAATACGATACGCAGTTAAGGCGAGTCGATAGTTCAAGTGATTTTTATATAATGTTTAATATTTGAACTGATTTAACAAAATGAGATTCAATTAACAAAAATGTCAATCATTTTTACGTGTTATTTATTGTTTTTATTCTGTTAGTAAAGGTTCTTTGTTTGTATTCCTGAACCGTTAGGAAGAAATGTAGTGGATTGACGGAGAAGTATTGTGATATTTTTAATTTGGAGACTGAATCGTCTTTTGAAAAAAATCATTGCAAAAAGGGTAAGTTCTGATTTTGTTTACATGCTTATCAGTATAATGATACTATGTTCGAAGCTTTTATGTTAATGTTTTTTACGATTCTTCGAACAAAACACTATTGTAACATGATTATGCTGCAGGAAAATTCATTAATGTCATGTGTGCAGCATTAATTATTTTTATTTTTAATCTTTTTAACATAATCTTACATTTTGTGTCAGCACCTGACAATCCTGAACAAACAGCTGAAACATTTATGAACACATGAAATTATAACTTACCATATCAAAACAAACATTTACATTATAATTATTTTGTAACATTAACATGTTAACTTATTATTTGAATGTGATATAATGCTTAACTGTTATATTTTTCTGGTCCTTCGGGATCATTGATGCCAGCACTATTGAGTGTTGAGAATTGAGTACCGCTCAAGCCGGTGCTAGGGGGCGTGAGGGATGTTGCACTTATTCATTATCCCTCATGTACAGACTCAATCAAACCGAGTCTGCAATTCTTATGTAATTTTGTTGTGATTAATGCTTCCGAGGGATCACTTGTTGTTTCCAGATTTTTATACTTCACAACAGCAGGTGTCAAGTGCTGTGTGGCAGCTGTAAAAAGTTGCCCCGTACTTCACTTCAGTGTTGTTATATTTTTCTGGTCCTTCGGGATCATTGATGCCAGCACTATTGAGTGTTGAGAATTGAGTACCGCTCAAGCCGGTGCTAGGGGGCGTGAGGGATGTTGCACTTATTCATTATCCCTCATGTACAGACTCAATCAAACCGAGTCTGCAATTCTTATGTAATTTTGTTGTGATTAATGCTTCCGAGGGATCACTTTGTTTCCAGATTTTCACAGAGTGGACCTCTGTAGAGCAATTTCCTGTTTAGAGCAATTAATTCAATTCTTTTTTAAAATAGACTTTGGTATAACTTTTACCTATCTAGACCAACATCTGTCAGTATTATAACCATAAGTCTTCCAGAACTTAGTTAATGCTAGTATTAAATTGAAGATAACTCAATTAAGACTTGAATAACAATAAAAGCACGAAAAAAAAATCAATTCTTCCTTAAAAAAGACTTTGGTATAACTTTTACCTATCTAGAGCAACATCTGTCAGTATTAGAATGCTAGTATAAAATTGAAGATAACTCAATTTAGACTTAAATAACAACAAAAGCACGAAAAAAAAAGAAAAAAAAAGAAAAAGAACAGAAAAAACACATTTAGATCTTAACTCCTTTCCCAGTTATACTGCAATGTAGATATTTCATGTCAAGGACAATGCTTACAATAGGGATAACTTGTAACACAAAAGGCTGTACCACATTCATCAACGTGTCGATAAGCCAGGTTAATGAAAAAGTAAGTAATACTATCATAAAGTTATTAGATGAAACTTTCAACAACAAAAACAGTATATATAAAATAACATTGATATAAAATGCAAAAGCCATTTAATGAACGCTTTTGAATTGATAAATTTGTAATGATGTCATTGCTTGTTTGTTGATTAAAGAAAGATTATTTCAGCTGTGTTTCAAATATAAGTTATAAAGCACCTTATACGCTGCATTCTACTTTTAGCATTGCTTTAGGGAGTGGATAGAAGCTTTTGTAGAATTGTATTGAAGGAACGTGTGTTTGAACAATTGTCGTATGTTGTCTAAGTAAGAAACGTGTTTACTTTTACCTTAGATAAATGACTGAAAATTCTTAACTTAACTAAGATATTTTGATTTCATTCTATCACAAGAACAAGTTGTGTTGAGATTCGATTTTTGAATTAAAAAGAAAGCTATTTTGTAAACAAAACAATTTTCACAAATTGAATAAACAAAAATGCGTAACTATTTAATATACATGTATTTGCCCACATATTAAAAATTCAATGTATTGTTCTTCCAAGCTAATGTGCCATTCTAGTTATTGAATAAAAGTATGCCAAGGTAATATATTATGACACGGACCAATAACACTAGCAAGAACCCAAGAGAGTTGTCGTCAATCATCTGTAGCAGGCCAGGCTTATAAAAGACAAAAATGTCACAAACATAAATCATAAACTGTAAAATGTGTAAATTAGCACTGTTAAGTGTTAGTGTGTGTTTTTCTATAAAATGAAATTGAAGACTTTAAAAATGTTTGAATCCGATATTGC